AAATGTCGTAAAGAGCCCATTTATTATGAAAATGATCGTTTTAGTCATTTGTGCTAAAAATGACTTAAACAACCCATTTTTCTTGGAAATGACCTTTTTGGCCCAAGTAATCAAGATTTCTCAATAAAAGCCTACTTTTGTCAAAATTTAATTATTTGGCCCACTAAAATAAAAAATTTACAATAAAGGCCCATTTTCATTTTAAATGATATTTTAAGCCCAATAAAACCAAAAGTTTGTAAATAAGGCCCATTTTGATAAAAATGATAGTTTAAGTCCATTACGACCAAAATTGTACATTTTCAGCCCAAGAAACCATGAATTTCCAAATAAGGTCCATTTTTATGAAAAATGACCATTTTATCCCATTAAAACCGTGAAGGCCCAAAAGAAGCCCATTTTGTCAAAAATAACACTTTTGACCCCTACAAATCGTGAGTATCATAAAAACCCATTTTTATCTAAAATAACTCTTTTGGTCCTCTTAAAACCGTGAGTTATCATAAAAGGCTCACTTTTTGTTTATTTGTCGAAAGTGGCTCTTTTGCATTATTTCTTTGTTTTTCTAGTAACTTTTGCATGTTAAGACTTTTCGACATTTTGTAAAGTCACTTCAAATATCTTAGTTTACTAACATCATCATGATTTGGTAGGTATTTCGAGTTTTTATGAAAGTTTAACAAGCTTTCATGACATATTCACACCATATAAGATAAAAATACACACATACATGTATAAACACTTAGACCTAACACAAAACCAACTTGTATTCTCCCCCAAAACATAGTAAAACCAAAAAAACAGGGGTATGAAGCTCACCTTGAGTGATGGATTCGGTTTTGATGAAGAAATGAGAGGTAATGAAGGTGTTTTTGGTCTAGCTTGCTCCTTTAATGAGGTTTTCAGACTTAAGGAGTTCTAAGAAGCAAGAATCACAAAATGAAGTGTTTATGAGTGATAAGTTGATCATCATAATGAAGTTAAACTTCTTGAATAGAGGTAACTTACCAAGAATGAATAAACTTTGAAGAAGTATTCTTGAACACACACACACACAAATGCACACTAGATTTCTTGAAGGAATGATGAAAGAGTTTTTGGAGGGTTGAGAGGAGTGAGGAATGTAAATATGTTTTGAATTTGCAAAGTGATGGAGGTGGTGATGTTGCTCCTTGGCCGAGGATAAGAAGGAAAAGAGAAGAGAGAGAAAAGAACTAGCCTTAAAGTATGAGAATGTCTAGTGGTATGGGGGGTTAATTGCATGGATATCCTCCATGCAATAAGAAGGTTTCAATTTTTTAAATTATTTAGATTTCTCTTTAAAAAAAACCAAGAATGGAAGGGGAAGAAAGGAAGAGAGTCTTGGGATTTATATAACATTAACCCATTTAGGATTTTTGATCCATGTAGGCCCACATATGAGCTTTCGGCCCAAAAAGAGTAAGGATATGTGTTTTCGGCCTATTGTAATTAAGTAAGTGGTTTTTCGACCTAAATAGGCCCATAAAGACAAGGTGAGTAACTTTTGGCCCAATATGGTCCATGAAGAGTGTTATAGCCCAAAATACTATTGTTAAATGAATGTGGGTCCAACTAGGGCCCAAATGTGGATTCTTGACCCAAAAGAATTAGGTTTCTGGGTTTACTGGCCCATTATGCCCAATAAATGTATCTTGTCCCAACAATATGGTGGTGTTGTGGAATGAATAACATGTATAACATCATACTTAAGGTTGCAAGATACATCAAAAGTAATTAGAAATGGATAGAATTTCCTACTGTCAAAATACTAGTTGTGACAGATAATTCTTTTGTGAAAATTAGAATACATCAAGTGACATTTTCTCTAATTCGCATTCTCTTTTCCATTTTATCAATTATTGTTTTCATCATATATTACAACAGTCTAGTTCCAAATGTTTTTTCCCTAAAATTCATCGAGCTCTTACAAGATTTTCACTGTTTCTTATGCTTTGGTGTAGATCCCCCTTACCTTGAACCAATGTTTCTTGCTCATATCAGCTGGTTCTTTATCCCACTTCTTCTTAAATGACCTGTTTGAGGTAATATTTATCTTCAAGTTTACATAATAGAGGCAAAAATGATAAGATTTATTAGTTGATCAGAGATTAAATATGGTAGGAAAATGGGCATTCAACAATGTACACTTGGATACTGAGTACTGGTTGGTGGAAAGGTCGTGCTCATGTTAATCCAAATGTTGTTGTTGTAATTGGATTTCTCTACACCTGCTTAATAATTGGCTTCATTCGAATCAACATGGGCTTCTTTTTTACCTTATGATCTGAAATCTTAAACCACACATTTGTTTTTGTCATATATCTTGATTTGGGGTTCAATCTGGATGGCTCCATTTGTGCCTTAATGGTAAGAGACTTGATGAACATTATTGAATCAGATCATATCTTTTGTGTGCATTAAACAAATTAGTTAGATTATAATTTTTGAATCTTTTGTTCAGGTATGTTGCACTTGGTAAAATTCCCACACACTATTTGCTCTACAAAGATGTGAACAAGAATCCACTATAATCATGTGTGGAAGATAATGCAGATGGAGTTTAATTACTTTAGAATCTGATGTCTTATTGGAGTTGAAAGCTTCGGGTATCCAAATGAAGTTGTACACAGATTCGGTTGTATCAATCAACTATTATATAAGTGGATTTGTATCTTTTTTCATTTGTTAAATGGATCACGAGTCAATGTGACTCCAAAGGTCCCTATATTCATGTTATTACGATATAATTAGAAGAATCATATTCTATTTTGTTACAACAATGAAAGTTTTTAAGGATAATGAAGTGATATATTTGAATTTTGCTAATCATTCTCACATATCTATGCTGGTTATTTTGTATTTCTAGGGCCAAAATTCTGAATGGGTGAATGGGTACATCAGCAATTTGAACCCATCAAATGATGATTGGATTGGAGCTTTCTCCCCTGCCAATTTCAGGTTCTTATCATTTGTATTTTCTACTTTTGTCAATTTGTTTATTATATTTATAGCATCCTACCTCCATTTGTTAATTAATTAATAAAAAAGTGCATTGCTATAATTACATATATTTCTTCAAGTATAATAATTTTGAGAACATATTTTTTGTCCCACCTTTTTAGGTAGGACACAAAGCTGTAATTTTTATCCATCTTGGGATAAAAAATAGACATGATAGTCTGTTATTTTCAGCAATCGTGCTTCCTTGAAAACCCAAGAGTCAGCCCTCCATATTTATACACTACACCTATTAAGGTTTCTTCTTTTATTTAGAACATGGGTCCTAGATAGTTTTTAGATGTGCATTGTAAAAACGAGTAATCATTTGCTAAAAGATAGGGATAGTTAGGAAATTTTACATATATCTCAATAATTAGTTATCTAGCAACAACTCGTTACATTATTATCCAAATTGAATTATTTTGTCGTATATAATATCCATTGTAATAATTTGGATGTGATTCATATATTTACATGTAAATTACATGTAATTTACATGTAGATCACATGTAAATCTCATGTGATTCACATATTAATCACATGTAAGTCATATATGAATGACATGTGATTCACATGTAATTCACAAGTGAATTACATATGAATTACGTATATATGCACACATTAATATGTTAATCACATGAAAATCACATGTAATTAACATATTAATCACATTTAATTCACATGTAATTCACATTTGATTCATATATAATTCACATGTGGTTCACATGTAAATCATGTGATTCATATGTAAATCATATGTGATTCACATGTAAATAACATGTAAATCAAATATGATTCACATAAGTGTCGATTCATAACATGTTTTGAATCGTATGTGATTTACATGTGAATCACATATGATTCACATAAGTGTCGGCTCATAACATGTTTTGAATCGTATGTGATTCATATGTGAATCATATGCAATTCACATGTGAATCACATTACTTTTGATCAAACGCTCCACTTCTAGTTTCCAAGTTCTCGGAAAAATATGAGTTCTCAACCAATCTCTCTCTCACACACACACACACACACATATATATATATGTATATATATATATATGTATATATATATATACATATATATATATATATATATATATATATATATACACTTTGGAAAAATTAAAAATACATACCTATAATTCTTTAAAAAATACAAAAATACTCCGTGTTTCTAAAAAATACGTAAAATGAAACTTTTAAAAATGTATTTATAATTTTAAAAATATATTTTTATGAATATGTATAATATGTACCCCAATTAAAATATGAAAATTTGTAACGTTAAGGGTTTCTTTTTATTTCATGGCAACTCCTAAAATAGGAGATTAAAAAAAATACTTATAAAGTTTGCTTTTAGCATATAGAAAAATATATTAGAGTAAAATCATTATTTAAAAAAAAAATATTAAAGATTTTATGTAAATAACTAAATATCCAATCGAACCAAAATATGTACGGAATTTGTGTTTGACCCTTATAATCATCGGCTATTGTATCTCTTATTTAAATAGAAAAATCACAAGATATTCATAGATTTCTGTAATGATAGATTTATATACTTAAGTTTCTAACAACTTCATCAACTCTAAATTAATTGGAACTTTTCAAATATACAATTGGATATCAATGAATTTTATAATTTGGATTACAGTCAAACATTCAACATTGTTGCAAGACCAAATAACCTTCTCTCTCTTAAAATTCTGCCGGTTGTCTCTCTTTCTCTCTCTAGATTTCTTTCTCAAGCAGTTGACATTGAAGAGCCGATCAAAAATAGTCATTGGCGTGCCTGTCACTTCTCCATTTCTGTTTCCAATCATTTTACACATCCAAACCTTCCCACCGCTTTCTATATCTCCTCCATGCAAAACACACACATATTGTATATATATACCCTCTTTGTTCTGTAGAACTTATTTTCACCATCTTCGCCAAAACCCTAAGCAAGAAACATTCAAAAAGACCCTCTCATGGCAACCCTTTCTTCTTTCAAAACTACACGCCTATCATGGAAGCTCTTCTTCCTTGTTCTTTTCTTCACAATCCTCCTCGTTGGCCCAAGCTCTGCAACCAGCCGCGGGAAAACAATAATGCAACCGGAGCATCACCGGAAAAAGTATGATGTAGGTTCAAAGAACCCCAGCTTGCTTTTCAGTATGCTACCAAAAGGGAAACCTGTCCCTCCTTCTGGTCCTTCAAAACGGCATAATTCTACACCAAATAATTGATCTTTTTCACATAATACTCATCTTTTGGTATTTTCTTCAAGTGTTTCATCTTCCTTTTTGTTTTTTGCTTGGAAAAGTTCCTGGAGTTTTGCTGATGAAGGGATCGTAGGGTTAAGATTAAGGGTCATGCTCATCCAAAGATTATCTTTCTGAGTTAAGGATTCATTGGATGCATATACATATATATTGATACTGTATAGGAAAAATTTTTTTTTGTTGAATTAGAAATAAAATTCGTTATCTGAAACATGATTTGAAGGTTAGCTTGAGTATTTGCAATGGATGTACATGTCAATTTATTGGTTTTCTATATGTGTAATTTCCACATTAACATACATTGCGGATTGTATTAATTGCGCTACCCGACTCTCTAGTCTCTGATGCATCAATCTTTGTATTTAAAGTTTATAAGAAAGAGAATATATTGTTCTTGAGAAAATGATATTTGACTCTCTATTACTGTATAATTGTTTTTGACTTTGTAGCTTTCATAAAAAGTTAGGCAACTTTGTTGTATTTTCCAGGAAATGGATGAATGCAAAGTGGGATTACGAACTGCTCCTATCTAAATAAAATACTAGTATTTTCGTTTTGGATCTTTAAAATAAAAGTTAATCACTAAAATCATAAAAATGATCGAGCTTCTATCACAAAATAATAATTTTTATATTTTTTTATGAAATAATCATTTATTTAGTAAAATTACTTCACAAAGTGATTTCTTGTCGTGATATCATGTTTGTCATATTGCAAAAAAAAAAAAATGTATATCAAGATTTAAAAAGAAAAAAAAAACAAAAGTAGAAACATTTATAGAAGCAATTTCGATTATTTTATGATAAAAATCTATCCATGATTAACCCTTCAACTAAAATGTCACTTTCTTTATAAAAACCTAATCCAAATTCAGTATTAGTGGTGATCGATCTATTGTATTATTATAGATAATGGTTTTCTAACAAAAAATTTTGTTTGCTTTAGGCCAGTTCAACAAAATATTTTAGGTGTGAGACAAAAATTTAAAAACAAATCCTTAAAGACGTAAACAAATTTTCTTTATAAAGATAATTTAGAAAATTGCAAAAATGATATTGTGTCTTATTGATTTTTTATATACAGTTCGATGAGTTTTAAAGTTGTGGGTATAATAATTACTCTGGGCTACTTTTAATTAGTTTTAACTTTGTCAAATTTTAAATGACTATATTAGTATTAATATAATTATTTTAGTAATATTAATTTTTTAAATGTTTTATTGTTAATAAAATAGAATAGATCCAGCCCAATCCCACCACTTTTTTCTCTAGTGCCACAATCGGTAGACTTTTATTTTAATTTTTTGTTTGGGCGTATCGTTGTCTTATTTGGTTTTGTCACACTACATATTTATCGTGTCATTTATGAGAGTGGGTTAAGTTGCAAGAAAAAGAATCAAAAGTGTTGAAAAGTGAGAAAAACAATTTACAAAGCATATTGATGTCAGATTGAATTCCATTCGTGACATTGTGACATTCCGGAAAGAGACAGGTTCTCAATAGTGAAGAATGATACCAAGGTGAAACCAACACACATGTTAACAAAGTTGTTGCCCACAAAGAAGTTCAACATTTGCGTTCAATGGAACACTAAGGATTATATGGAGCACTTGGGTTTCATGGAGCATGTTACAAAGGAACAGATCATTTGAGAAGGAAATGGATCATCTAACAAAGGAATGAATCATCTAAAATTGGGTTTGGAGCATCTTGAAGCAACTTAGAGCTACATGGAGCAACATGGTCCAACGTGTTGCACCGTGAGGATAGAATTTGCGCCATCATGAAGGATGTTGTGCCATGATGACTGATCTTGCACAATTATGAAGATGTTGGGTCAAGTGAAGGTGTCGTTCCACGTGAAGATGTTGTGCCAAGTGAAGATGTTGGGTCAACATGGAAAAGTTGCACCATCAAGGAGAAGTTGGGCCATCTCTTGGGAGATGTAGCACCACCCTTGTTTTTTGGATGGGCCAACATCATTCATGTTGCGCCATCTTGGCTTCATGCTGAGCCATGATATTGCTGATGAACCACATATGCTATGAAGTCCTTTATGATGCTCAGAAGTTAGTGGTGCTCAAGGATTACACCATCTTGTGCCACCACGATGGATGTTGGATCATTAGTGTTAATAACGCCCCACTTGTACATTATGATGCTCCTCTATGGTAAAAGGTGCTCCATCATGTGCATTGTTGATACACTTGTGATGTATTTCATGGAAGAATGTTCTAGAATATGATGCATGGAAAATTATGTTTAGTTGTCATCTTTCTTCGACCTATAGGACAATGGCTTGGCCCATTAGGGTTTTAGGTCTGATCCCTCAAGTTTAAGTAGGGATGCATGATAATTCATTTGGTATCTTAAACTCTAGAGTGTTAGGCGAATCAATGTGAAAGTTGTACTTGTAACCTCTATTTGAGAACTCTGAAATAAAGAATACTCCCCTCCTTCCTGTTGATGTAGGTCACTTTGACCGAACTATGTAAATACTATGTATTGCGTGCTTTTAGTATTGCTAATTATGTTCTAAACTTCCTAACACGTGTCTTAATGTTAAGATTGATATTCTACATAATTTCGTTGATATGATTGAATCAAATGGGTGTATGACTCATAATTTCCGTCATCCCTGGTCTAAAGCACGTGGCCTCGGAAGGGAGTTTCTGAAACTGATTGTTAGTCCCATGAAGGAACTTCAACATCTTACTTTTATGGGGGACATTCCAAATCATACTTATTTAGATACTCCTATCCCACCACTATCGTCCCTTTAAGAACCTGCAGATTAATATCAATCACTAACTCCCGAATTCAAATCCATCACTATCACATGTCCTGATTCCATGCAACTTCCCCCATTGATATCCATGGACCTGAATTAATCTCAGTAAATTTCATGTGGAACAAGGGGCATTGGAGTTTATTTTCTAAACTTTGGTCCTCCGAACAATTGTGTTATTGAGTAAACTGTTCCTGAGATATCCAAACATGACTCAAATAGACCTAACAAAAACGCTCACTCATTTTGGGCATCCCTAGATAGTGATGTTGGTGAGGAAATTTGGTGTGATGATGACACTTCGTCCAATTCCTCTATTCCAAATTCGAGAGTTGTTTCAAAGTCTACATAAGTTCCAATAAAACCTAAGTTTAACAATCCATCTGTCGGACAATCTTCTAAGTCGACATCTAAATTTAAGAAGAAACCATGGTTGAAAAATAAGGATATTATTCATCTTAACAGACCATTTATTCCTGTTAGCTGGAATACTCATTACACTTCAGCGAAAAATTATACAAAATCTGTTAGTGTTGAAACCTCACTAAAGAAAAGTAACTCTCCTCGGAAAGTATCTTCTCCAGTACTCACTGCTACCTCGGATGGAAATTTTCTTAAACAAACACAATTTCCAAAATCAAATGTGCCTACGAGAGCAGTGAATAAGCGAAAGGATACTCAGAAAATTATGTAAGGAATCTTTCAAAAGGTTTAATTCTGAAGTTTGAATGGACGATTAAAGAGAATGTCGTTCAAAATGAATCATGGAAAACATATATCCCAATACCTTTCAGAAAACTGTCGTTCTGAATAAAAATTTGTCCAAACCACCAAAAATGGAATATTATTATTGGATTAATGAAAGGAATCATACATTCTACATCATTCCAAAAGAATCTTGGAAAGAGAAATATGAGATCCAAGCTGTTCATAAATCCAAAGCAAAGTCCAAAGCTTGTGCTAAAGTCAATTGTTCTAACTCATAGCCTAAAAACTCCAAACCTTGCTGATTTTATAGGCTTTTTACGCTTCAGAACAAGATAGAATATGATATATTGATAGTGCTTATTCCATGCACATGACTGGGCAGAATAACTTTCTTCAAGATCTCAAGTTAAATCCAAATTTGGTTACGTTACCTATGACAACAACACAAATTCTCATATTCGAGGTTATGACATCTTGACGAATGGAAATTTCTCTATATCTATGTGGATTTTTGGCTGATCTTCAGAACAATATGATAGGTGTAGCCCAACTTAGTGATGCAAATCAGAGGGTTGAGTTTTGTATGAAGAATTGCTATGTTATCACATAAGATTCGGAAAATGTCTCATCCAATTAGATCAAAACAAAAATATATATTTCTTATAAATATCAATATGATTGTCGCAAAGCCTCATATGTGCTTTCTTACAAAGGATGTCCCTGATGTTAGTTGGCTATGGCATCAGAGACATGCTCGTCTAAATTTCTGATATATATATAAATGATCTGGTTTATGGAGAAATGATATGTGGTTTGCTACTCCTCATGTTTGATAATGACGACCTTTGTGCTTCATGTGAATGTGGGAAGCAATCCAAGAAAGGTCATCATGTTCTGATCAAAAAATCAATTTTTGAGGTTGAACTTCTTCATATCGATATGTGTGGTCCGTCTGTTGTTGAAAGTTTACATCAGAAGAAGTACATGCTTGTAATTGCTGATGACTACACCAGATTTACATAAGTTTTCTTCTTGATGTTGAAATTGGAAACAACTTTCAATCTCATCAATTTTATCAAAGATATCGAAGTTCTGACAATGCTACTTGTCTAAATTGTTCGCAATGATAATGGAACCAAGTTCACTAATGCCAAAATTGAAAAGTTCCTAGTTGATAAAGGCATAGAAAACAAGTTTTTTGTTCCCTATACTCTTCAACAAATTGGTTTCGTTGAATGAAGAAACCGAACTCTCTTTAAAGTTGCTCTTTTGATGTTAAACTTTGCAATTCTACCTCTTTATCTTTGGGCTAAAGCAGTCTCCACGACCTACTTTACTGTAACGACCCAAAAATCACGATGAAACGACCCAAAAATTTTGTTTTTCAATGTAATCAAAACCATAATCTAAGTATCATAACATAAAAACATACGCGATGTATCCCAAATCATAATAAAATACTGTGCGGAAAAACTGTATCATACTATATCAAATCAAGACAACTAAAACCATCCCCAGGATAAAAGTTAAGCTGTGGTGTGTGCGATGCTATCACCCCGAGCTCTTCCCTTTGCTTGCGGAAGTACCTGAAACCAAAACTGAAACTGTAAGCACGAAGCTTAGTGAGCTCCCCCAAACTACCACATACCATACAATATCATATAAACACATATTGGGCCTGGCCCACTGCATCGGGCCGAAACCCGGAAACTGCATCGGACCGAAGTCCGGAACTGACTGGGACCTTGTCCCCTGCATCGGACCGAAGTCCGGAACTAATTGCATCGTACCGAAGTCCGGAACTAACTGCATTGGACCGAAGTCCGGAACTAACTGCATCGGACCGAAGTCCGGAACTATCTGCATCGGACCGAAGTCCGGAACCGACTGGGACCTTGTCCCCTGCATCGGACCGAAGTCCGGAACTGACTGACTGAACATGGCATAGCATAACACATCATCTAGCATGAACACATATACTGCATACTACATCGGGCTGTAGCCCGGAACACATAACACTTAACACATAAAACATAGCATACAAATCCTGTCTGAGCCACGAAGGCATCAAACATACTAGCTACTGCATCGGACCAAAGTCCGAAAACTACTGCTAACTGAACGGGCCGGCATTGTGGCCTTAGACCCGTCCCTACTGGAAGGAAACTCACCTGATGCTGCTGAACTGCTGCTGCTAATCCTTGACTGTTACCTGACTTCTGACTTCGACTGCTGCTCCACTAGCTCCTCAAGCTACCAATATCAATATGACACTTAGTCCAACTGGCCTCCAAAGGTTACTAGGTCAAATCTGGTCAAGGTCAAAATCCTGGTCAAAGTCAACCTTCCGGGTCAACCCTACTCACCGAGTCTATCTACTGACTCGCCGGGTTCATATGCCCTGAGTCTTTCTTGTTCGCGACTCGACTCGCCGAGTCAATCCATGACTCGCCGAGTCCAACTAGGTCCAAGTCCTGTCCTGTCCAACTCGCTGAGTCACCACCCGACTCACTGATTCGGGTCTCGACTCGAAGGGTTTAGGGTTTCGCAATCTGACTCGCCGAGTCCAAGAACAGACTCGCCGAGTCCTAGACAATCTTCAACCAACTCGTCGATTTGTTCATCCAACTCGCCGAGGCCATGCCTATCTTCATCCGACTCGACGAGTTGTTCATCCTACTCGTCGAGTTCCTCCTCACCTTCAAGCTACTCGCCGAGTCCACTCGAAGGACTCGCCGAGTCTATCCATTCCTCAATCCATGCAGTGGCTTTTCGAGCCAAACTGAACTTCCAACTCCTAGATCCATACCTCTAGGGCCTATTCCCCACGTAAAGTGGCAAACTTTACGTGTAGATTGAGAGATCTAAGCTCAAAACACACTAAACTAGGGTTTATGGCAAACATGCTTCTTCAACATACCAAGGGCTGATACTTTAGGGGATTCAAGACCAAAACCAACATGGATCTGAGGTAGCAACCCCAGATCTGAACCTCCAACCCGAATTGGTTACAAAACATACCAATAATGACCAAAACTCACACATAAGAATAGATCTAGATGCAAAGGGAGTCCAATCAACAGCTTATTACCTCCAAATGATCTGAAATGTCTTCTCAATCTCGGATCTACAGTCCCTTCTTGCTCTTCCAAGGCTTTTCTTCCTTCTCCAAGCTTATAGTGCTCTCTTCGATGCAAGATCTAGCTCAAAAACGGATATGGCGGCTAGGGTTGATGTTCTGGGGGGGTAAAGAGGCACTAAAGGAACCCTAGGAAAGAGAATGAGATGCTTAAATAGGCTCCAAGTTCCCGAGTTTAGGGTTTTCCCCGTTCAGAACCAACTCGCCGAGTCTCCCTGGCCGACTCGCCGAGTCGGTCGCTTTCACCACAACCCGGATCCCGCTCAGACTCGCCGAGTCTCCCCTAAACTTGAGGTTTTCTTTCTTTTCTTGGCTTTCCAAACTTTGGGGTGTTACATTTACTCAAAATCGGAGCATCATCAACCAATGACTCAACACGATACCGTATGAAGCAATGAATGGTTGCAAGCCTAGTATCCCATTCCTACAAATCTTTGGATGCAAATGCTTCATCAAGAACAATCGTGATCAACTCAACAAGTTTCAACCAAAGTGTGATGAAGCTATCTTTTTGGGATACTCAGCCAAATCAAAAGCTTACATGGTTCTTAATCAGCAGACCTATGTAATTGAAGAAATATTTGATATAACCTTTGATGATAATTTTGTTCGGAACTCAAAACCAACCCATGTTACAATGCATATCTTGGAGTCTAATGCTCTACCTCTTAGGTCTCCGAATCTTCAGGTCATCTATGAAGTTTATTTTGAAAGTTTGTGTGGACCTATAGAAAAAACTCTTGAGTTGGAATCTCGATCAAGACCATCTTCAATGCCAAGTCTGCCTGTTTCTCACAGTTTGTCTAGTCTAACACCCACTTTTCCTCCATTTTATTATGAAGTATTCTCGTCTCGGGTTGAGGGGGAGAATGCCTCTACTTCCATGCCTTAAGGGCAAGGAAGTAATCCAACCCTTGAATCACATATTGATGATTTTCAAGACGTAGTAGATCAATTTGAAGAAATTGATCCTATTCCGAACAACAAGGATGATGATCCTAATTTCTTTGAATTCCGAACGAATATGATTCATATATATCTAGTTCGGAAGTTCACGGGGCGTGGACATTATCTTCAAATTCAAACTATTCAGGGGGAGCAAGACAACACCATCATTGTCTTCAGATTATCTATGACACAAGAAGTTTTGAGACTACATATCTGTATAAAGGATCATCCTCCAAATCAAGTTATCAGAAATCTGACCACCAGATTTCAAACTCGCTCTGCCGCTAATATTCAAAATGAATGTCATTTCTCGGCATGCATATCAATGTTTGAACATAAATCTATCAAAGAAGCTTTATAAAATTTCGATTGGATTATATCAATGCAACAATAGTTAGTTGAGTTCAAACAAAATCAAGTATTGAATCTTGTCCCTCCTCCTCAAGATCACCCAATTGTTGGAACTCGATGGGTTTTCCAAAACAATATCGATCATGCAGGAGTGATTATCCATAACAGAGCAAGATTAGTGACCAAATGTTTTATACAGATTAAAGGTGTAGATTATGTTGAGATGTTTGCACTTGAATACATTTGTATCTTTCTCGCTTATGCTACGCACAAGGCCTTCAAGGTTTACGAGATGGATATCAAAATTGTCTTCCTCAATAGTGAACACAATAGTGAAGTTTATCTTCAACAACCTTCTGGTTTTGTGAATCTTGCCTACCTTAACTATTGCGACAAACTCCAGAAAGTTGTATACGGCCTGAAGCAAGCTCCTTGCTCCTAGTTTGAGACTCTTACATGTTTTATGAAGTGATCTAGTTTTCAGATACAAGTTGTTGATCCTACCCTGTTGTGATGATCAAATGGAAAACATCTCATGTTAGTTAAAATATACATCGATGAGATCATCTTTGGATCAACTGATTCGACAATTCCAGATAAGCATGAATCATGAGTTAAGTTTCTTTCACTACTAGAAAAATAGCCTTTTACGATGCGCAATTAATGACACACACCGATAGAGGACGGGCATTTGTACGTGCCCTAAAAATTAATGTTAGTTTTTGAAAATTTGAAGGATAGAGGTCACACATTTTTGCGTACCATAAAATTAGTGTCAGAAAAAAAATACGGAGAGCACCTATAAAAAATGTGCGTGTTGTGTTATTGTGTCGCTTTATATTTTTTTAAGGAAACACGCGTTTTTAGGGGGAAAAATAAAATCCAAAAAATTAACCCCCGCCTATTCATCCCAAAAATTCCCCGCCTCTTCGAATTAAGGCCTTCGTCTTCATCCACAGCTTCCTCAATTCCTTGATCCATCACCTCCACAAAAAACCTAATTCTCGGTTCCAACAAGTTCTTACACTCTTAATTCGACCCTATGAGCTGAGGATTTAGGGTTCTTACCTACTGGTTATCAATTTGAGCCGATGATTTAGGGCTCCTAAATCCGACCCTAATTTTTTCTATCTCACTCTCGTATTTCCATCTCATCCCTCTCACCTGGTTCAAAACACGTAAAGGGCAACGAGGAGTTGTTGTCTAAGACATCACCTGTGGAGGTGCAGGAGAAGACGTAAGGGGAGATGGAGTTTAACTCGGGCGGCAGCGGAGGTGCACGAAGCAGTGGGAATGACATGGAGTTGTTGTCTAAGACGTTACAGGTGGAGTATAAGTTGTTTTACTTTGATCTCAAGGAGAATCCACGCGATCGTTACCTGAAGATTTCGGAGAAGACATCGGCGACAAGGTCTACCATAATCGTACCTTTCAATGGAATCTCTCTTGGTTCTTTGATATCTTCAACTACTACGTCACTTCTGATGACCAAGATATTTCTAGCAAGGAACTCCAGCTTGATAACAAGGCAATTTATTATATTACACATTACACACACTATACATACACTTTCATATTTATTACTCTGCAAAATGTGGATTGACTTTCCTAGTTTCTTCAATAATTATCAAAGATTTTTCTTTCAAATAACCTTCATATCTGTCCAATTACCTTTCTAATTAGGGTTCTTTCTTCAGGTGTTTTATTTTAACATTGGGGAAAATAGGAGGGGTCGGTTTCTCAAGGTACGCAGTTGTGTAATTATGGTTTCAGTATGCTTAAAAACGTGGAAGCTTGTAGGTTTATCTGTTTGTGCCTGTATAATCATGTAGGAATCACTTGTGTGTAGTTCTATTGCAATATGGATATACCTAAATAGAATGCAATAATGTTTGTTCAGATTGCTAATCTTCACCAGGGGTATATTTGTCCGAAAAAGATCCTATTTTGATGCCATCACAAGATTCAGGGTTGTATGTGGGTACTATTAGACGTGAGGTTGGGAGTAAAATAGATGCAATTGAACAAATTCAAGAGACCCCTCTTGGGATCAAATCGACTTCTTGTGAGAACCTTTTTTTTAAATTTATTTAATCACCATTTTGTTATCATCTTGTTTTGTATTTGAAATTATTTTTTATTTGATGTAAATTAATCGTATTTATGAATGGTTAAACATGACAACTGGTTCTGAGCAAAGGAAGGTGGGACCCAGTGAGCTTCAGGGAGTGGGGAAGAATGTGGTTTCAGAGTCATCTTCACGACCAGGATCATCTTCTCACGTCTCCTTTTCCATTTCCAGGCCTTCATGAAATTATAATAATAGGATGCAACAAGAAATTGGACCTCAAAAAGGTATCAAGACACTGATACCTTAACTTTTAACTGAATGCTTTTATTAGAAGTGAAACAGTAGAACTTAATGATAAACTTGTTTGTGATTTCCTACAGTTGGTCCTAGCATGGAATGGAAACCGAAACCAATTGCTCAAAGTCAATGGTCAATTAAGGTGCATGTGGCTGTGGTTCCAGTTGAAGCTCATACTCCAACAATAATTTCTTCTGCATCCTCCACTAATCTTGATTCATAGGAGGATGAACTTGAGAAGAAGCTGAAGGAGTTCCACATTTCAGATGATAAACATGTCATTATCCCAAATCACCTTCATGTTCCTGAAGCCGAAAAACTCGGCTTCTATTTTGGGAGTTTTGATGCCACTTTTAGTTTTAATAAAACCCCCCTCAAACTCAAATGGTCTTGTGGCTATGACCGTGAATGAAAAGATGTCTGAAGCATCTGAGGAGGTTGATGAAACTATAGAGGATCAAATACAATCCAGGTTTCTGTTTCTTAGGTTGTATTTCATATTGGAGTAGACATCATTTTCTGATAAATTTATGTACTTTATTGGTTCAGAAATGAAAATGCTGATGGAGAGGAGGATCATCTTGAACGTCCTACCACATCTTCATCTTATGTACCCAAGAATTTACCAACGGAAGGTGACATGTCATTGAATGCGGGACCCGAGTACCCCATTACCCTCCAAATTACATGCCATACGATCCATATTTCTCCCCATTTTATGTCCCTCCACCAGCTGCTATCCATCTGTTGTTAAGCAACGGGACATTCCCACAACAACCACAACAAGGCGGCGGAGGCATGTATCCAGCACCACCACCACCAGTGACTGCCGCCTCTAATTCTAAATACCCGCTTCCACAGTATAAGCCAGGAAGCAATACATGGAGTATTGGAATGGCGGGAAGCTATGGACCATATGCCTCAGCAGCCCCTATTGGTTATAACTCTGCTTCGGTTGCTGCCAGTTCCATGGAATCTTTTAGGTCATAATTATATTGGATCAGAGCACTTGCTTCTTGGTTTGCTTCGTGAAGGTGAAGGTGTAGCAGCTCGTGTTCTTGAGAATTTAGGTGCTGACCCAAATAACATTCGCACACAGGCAATTGTGTTAGCTTTATTTTTCATGTGCTGAAAATACCCTTGTCTTACGTGCGATGTTTATACTTGTTGAATAGGTGATTAGAATGGTTGGGGAGAGTGCAGAAGATGTGGGTGCTGGAGTTGGTGATGGGAGCTCTTGAAACCAGATGCCAACTCTAGAGGAATAGTTAGGTAACCAATGAGGGAGGGCATGCCATATTGCCATATAATATAAATCACAAAATAAATACATTCAAATATTCATTGCAATCTAAGAAAATTGAAACTGAAAAGCTTTTTGAGTTAAAGCAACAATCATAAGAAAATGCCAAAATGGCCTTCACAAGATATAAAGTAGAAGAAATTTCAATCACCCTAGATCATCCATGCTATGAATTATTCCTTTAGCTATACACAAGAAAGGATTCAAACAGGTTCCTCTTCTTCTTTTTGTCTTCCAAAGACGAATAGCAGGGGAAAGAACTCGGTGTCCGTGGTGGAAAAGCAGTTCATATGCTCATACATCATAGGCATGTCAACATAGACTTTGTTTCATTCATATTTCTACACTTATTTCACTCTTCTTTTCAGTTTTACAATAAATTCAAATGTTTTTGTTAAATCATCCAGCCGCAACACTGCTCAAAAACAATGGGATGAAACACTTGTGCTTGTATTTGGTGGAATTGCTCGTATCTTGCATACTTTCTTTCCACTATTAAGAAGTTTAACCAATTTTTGGTCAGGTATGTCTTCATTTAAAGGATTATAATTTATTCAAAAACATGTGTGCTTTTAAAAAAGAACAATGGTGAAGTTGAATATTTGTTATGTAGGATGGGAGTCTTTGCTGTGTTTTGTGAAGAACAACATTGCAAATGGTAGTAAAGAGGTTGCCCTTGCTGCAGTAGGGTGTTTGCAAATGGGGGTAGCATGAAACAACAGTTTCAACCAATAAATTGATTTGCACCATAATTTCTTTTTAACAAAACATCTTTATAAGTTATATAGCAATCTGTTCACAACAGAAACCATTTCATTTTCATAAAAAGCCTACTCCACTTAGCAACCTCACTGTTTCATTAGGCATGATAACATTAGGGTTCCTAACAGCAACAGGTGGATCCACCTTCCCCTTTGATGAGATACTCCAGAAACTACCACCACAAGAGGACACCTTATCAGCACCACCATCAGCTTTCGATTTCATCAAAGGATGCTTCCCGTTCCATATATTTAGTTGGCTTTGTTTGCACTAGGACTCAACATATAAGAAGTATTGTTATCTATTAACCAAGTAATTGATTTAACTTTTACATTATGAAGTGCAGATTATAGTAGGATCATCAGTTAACAATTTTTCTTATCTATGACAAGGTATAACAGAGAATGCAATTTAATCACGACAATGTTAGGCCAGTACAGGTATTCTTGCTTGCCATATGTTGTTTATCCGTAACTTTATGTTGTTAATTTATACCCTTCTTATTTACATGGCAGTTGCAATATGTGGAAGTGCTCCCTAAAAAGGCTGTTAATATCTTGAAGGAAATTAGGTAGGCATCAAAGAATAGATTTTTTCTTTATTTTGACAATTCAAAGTTTTTGTATTTCTTTATGTTTCCTGAACATGGTTTTGATTTTGTGGTAAATTGATCTTTCGGGGGTTCTTTCTGGATTGAAGAAGGAGTCCAACATTGACAAGTTTCTAGGGGTATTTTTGGAATCCCTCGTGGAGTACAGTCATGATGATGATTCGTGCGTTAAAGTGTTGCTTTCCATGATAAAAGTCGTTCCTGTTAATGCTTTAGTTGGTCGTTTGGTTACAAAACTTCTTTCAACATGCAATTGACAAGTTAATAAATCAGATGTATTTCTTGTTAATTTACAGGATTTCTTGAAATACAACAAATCATCTCTAATGAAGCTGCCTTGTAAGATATTTGATCCCATTCCACTTGGTGAAGCTGTTGATGTTGAGAGGATGAAGGATGTAGATTCTGTAGCAATGCCTAAAGGTTCATCTTTATATGATTTGGTTCAAACGGGAATCACTACCACACATGCTTCTGTTTGATTGGTGGTTCACTTGAGGGAAGAGCTGTCTCTTGTAAAAGATAAACCTGTTCATTTTGCAATTGACCAAGTGAGTTGACTTTTTCTCTTTCTCTTTCTCTTTCTCTTTGCAAGTTTCATATTACCGTTATTTCTGACCACACACACACACACACATATATATATATATATATATATATATATATATATATATATATATATATATATATAGAAAAAGAGAGACAGAGAGAGAGAGAACAAAAGTTCAATGCTATAATTGACAAAAACTTAAAGTACACTGCTATGAAAGGATAGTGCTATATTCCGCAAAACATCATTTATTTGTTACTTTTTTTTATGTGTGTGCATGTGTGTTGCTATTTGTGTATAACAGAAAAAAAAACACCTTAACATACACACACGTATTTATAACTCATAAACATTATAAAATGACCTTTATAAAAAACAATTGAAACAGGGATAACCAGCAAAGCATCAGACTTGTATCATCCGTATCCATCATAAATTTTCCATATAATTGCAATGAGAAGTGGATATACCAAGAGAAGAACACCTGCAAAAAGAAATAAAAAATTCTTTAAACACACACAGATAAAAACCACAAAAAAACAAAAACTTACATGATCATTGCACGGTACCTGATCACAACTCTTTATTCTATATATATATATATATATATATATATATATATATATATATATATATATATATATATATATATATATATATATATATATATTTCTTTTTGTCTACATCACAGGAAAGATGTAGTTTCTCTGATGCTGAAACTGGCACTGCACCTCTATTTCCTAATCATGGTAACATACTTTTTTGTTTTTATTTCTTACTATAATCATAACTGAGTTTATGTTATATTAATTTGATTTTTTTATTTGTTTTTATGAAAAGATTTAAGAGCTGCAGTTGTAGCTGTTAAATGTGAGGATGATCGAAGGCTCTTTCACAATGCTACAATGCGAAAACAAAGAAGAGAAGTCAGTGACAGATGGGTATGTATTATATAATCAAAACACTAGAATTATAAATATTTTTTTTTTACTAAAAATAAATTATTTGAGTTAAAATAGCATGAACGATTTCAGTAAAATGGGAATGGTAATTCTGAAAATGGGTCCCATAGATGTGTACAATATCCATTTTCAGTAAATGAGAAGGTTGTTATTTTTATTTATTTCACTTTTTTTCTACGTAAAAATATACTGACAAAAAAAACATTACATGACATGATATGTTGGTTGAGTAGCTTTACGGGTTCTCATGGGTGGTGTTAGATGGGATTGTGATGATATACTCTCTAGTTGAGGATCAAGAACTGTTGTTGATAGCTTTACAGGTAATATTTACCATTTGTATGAGGGTATTCTTGTCATTTTGATTGTCATTGTTGATATCAAATAATTCATATTGTAGTGTATTTATTCCAAATACCACATTCTTTGGATGGAGAAAAGGGTAACTTTGTCTTTTACAACTAACATTCCATGTTTGATTCTTCTAATAATTATATTAGCATATTAATTTTTTGACTCTTATTTGATTAGGTCACAAGAATTATCGGAGCAGGGGTTCAATATGAGTCTTAAAGAATTATGAAAGGCAAGATGCAACTCTACTTAGTTGGAATTTGATGTTTATCATCTTTGTGTATATCTTTTTAGCTTGTACAACATTACATTGCACAAGGTGTCCCTTAATAGAAATGTAGTATTAGGTTATATAGTTAGGGAAAACCTTTTAATAACAATGTACAATTAGATCCCCTTAATATAAATGTATTACATTTTTTTGACATGATGTTATTGGATAAAATTGATTGTTTTGGTATATATTTGTTTACATATTTTTGTATTATGCGTAAAAGAGTATCATAAAGACGCTTCGTAAATGCATATCGTAAATGGTTACTGAAGTTTATGACATGCGAATGCGTGTCATCCTCATTTATGACAGGGGTTTTAATGATACGCAATGCGTGTCATAGATGCGCATCGTAAGGTTACGACACGCAAATGCATGTCGTCTTCCTTTATGACAGGGCCTTCCTTGATACACATTGTGTGTCATAAATGCGTGTCGTAAATGCGCGTCGTCTATAGATGACGCGCAAAAGCGCGTCGTCTCTCTTTATGACAGGGCCTTTCTTGACGTGCATTTGCACGTCATCTGAGCGTTTTACGACGCGCAATGAGCGTCGTAAAAGGCTGTTTTTCTAGTAGTGTTTCTCGGATTGCAAGTCAAACAAACAAGTTAAGGAACCTAAGTTCACCAAGAGATATACATTTTTGAACTTCTGAACAAATATTTAGTGGATACTTGTCCCACAAAAAAGGTTCCAATGAGTTTTGGACACAAGATCTTTTCCGACCCATATGGTGAATACATTGACCAAAAGAAGTGTAGAGGAATGATCCGAGCGTCGCTATACCTCATTGCAAGTCACCCAAACATCTTAATCTCAACATACCTATGTGCTAGATTCCAGGTTAATCCATAAATATGTCACCTGTTAGCGGTGAGACAAATGTTCCTATATCTTAAAGGAACAAAGAGCCTTGGAATTTGGTACCTGACAAATAAAAGCTTTTGTTGTAAGCTTATTCTGATTCAAATTATGGTGGACTTCAAGTTGAAAGGAAGAGCACATTGTTGGATTAGGTGTCTAAGCTAATAACTAAATTGGTATGTACTTGAGTTAAAAGTAGAGTCCTTTTAGGTTTCCCATAAACATAGTATTTGGAAAAACAACCATTTGGAGAGAGAGAGAGAGAGAGAGAGAGAGAGAGAGAGAGAGGGAGGTTGATTTATTGGTTTACTATAAGATTAGTTAATAGATATAAATAATTTATTAATGTATTATGAGGTTAATATATTAATTAGAAATACTATTATTTAATGAACAATTAATCAGAAACTGATTGGATTTAATTTTGAGATTAATTTTATTAATTAAAAGTATAGGGACTAAAGGTCAAAATGTTCAAACTTTAAGTATTGAAGAGTTCTAGAACCTTCCCATAAGGTGGACCGAATTAGAGGAGGTTCCTAGGGCTTCTTGGAAGCCTTAGGGATCAAGAAAAGGGATTAGGGTTACCCATGGAAACCTGCATGATCCTAACCTTATTACTAACTTATATAAACCCCTCATGAAATTCATATTTTAGGCATTCCTTCTCTAAGAGCCTTAGATTCAAAATTCCTTCCCCTCTCCTCTCTCCTCGAAAGTCTTCTATTGTTAAGGTTTAGGTACAAACCATTAGAGGCATGATATTTATGGTGCTTTATTCCCTAAGATTGTTGAAGAAGGAATTGTTGATTATTTACTACAATAATCAAAAGGTATGTAAATCCTAAAATCCTTTATGAATTTCGTAATAGTAAAGTACTCCAAGGGTTCTTAGTGTTCAATAGTTTTTTTGCAAGCAATATTGAAAGCATAGATCCATTAGGTTGCATGTGAACTTAGGGTTATGATTTTCGGCCACATTTATTTTGTAACCTATGAAAAACCTAATAGTGGTATTAGAGAAATTTTCTCAATTGATCTTGTTTAATGTTGAATATATCTAAATTAGTGTTTATAGAAATTAAACCCTTAGAAGATATTTTTCAAAAATTACTACGGTTCTTAAAACTCTAGCCCCCACCCTTTGGTTTTTGAAATTTGCTAGGGTTCTTGAAACCCTAACCTCCTTATCCATTTTCGAAAATTAAGGAAACCCTTTTCGGGTTTATCTAGTTTCTATAATTGTTAATTTAAAATCCTTAAATTTTGAATAATTAAAACCTGACAAACCTAAACCTTATTTTAAAAAATTAGAGGCTTTTGGATTATGTTTTAATTTGAATTATTTTATTGACTGATTAATAGTAAATAGTTATTTAACACTCAAATTAATTAATTTAATTAATTATTTAATTAAAATATAAAGATAAATCATAACTTGTTAATATTAATTTATTGAAAAGAATAATTTAAACAATTAATATTTGAACCTCATATTTTATAAAGTTCTAAAATAGACCTTATATATATATATATATATATATATAATATATATATATATATATATATATATATATATATATTAAAAGTTAACTACTATATGTATAAGAAACGTTAGTCAAATAAATAATGGGTAAATGTCACTGTAATCCAACCAACTTATGTGTTTTGGTTTAAAAGATATTTCATGTTTTTTTTGGTGGTCTAAGTATCTAAACTTTCATTTTACCTGTTTAAAAAGGGAACCACCCTATTTGTTTCGGGTTTACCGGTTACAATTGGTATATTTGGCTTTTCTATATATTATTTTAAAGTTCAAATTTTAAAACAAATTCATGTGGCTTTTTTCTTACTATTTGGAGTATGTCGGTACAAAGAAACGAAGGGGAACACGACCCTCCTCTTCAAAGAACAGATTGTTAGACATCCTTCCACCTATGGTATTCCAATTGAATTTATGATCTGGAAAAAAAGAAGGAAACGTTCCCATCTTCTTTGTCTGTAACCAGAACATCATTTCCTTTTGTGGTCACTAACAATTTGGGTGGTGGCGTAGAGAAATAGATCTCAGATTTAGCTCTTTGAGTTTGCCGGACCTCCTGATCTTTCTATAATATCTTCATCTGTATATATACCAAGTTCAATTAATGAGTATTATACTCTTAAAATTCATGAACAAGGTGAAATAGAACTAGATCTCAGATTCAAACTTGGTCGTGGGTTATGATTCTCTCTGATTGATTAGATTTCTTGGCTGCATCTTCATCCTGGTAGGCCCTGCCACCACTCCGAAAGGGATGACACACTTGCTGACTTCAACTTTTGTGTGTGGCCATACGAGCATCATCGATTCCTTCAGGATCGGTGTTCGGCATCTCTTTCCACATTTTGGGTCGCAAACTTGAAAGTTTGCTTTGTGTGTGTATGTGTATGTTGTTGGAATAGTGTCTAAGGCTGCAACTATATAAGGCAAGTATTTGATCCGGTTGTGCATGGTCCTTTTGGGTTGCCTTCACCATAGCAACTTGATGGATGATTTGTTAAGAGAGAGTAAATATTATAAGGAATAATATATGGTTATTTGATTAATATATGTCATAGATTAATTGGAATTAATTTGGTGACTTAAAGAGATTAATTAAATAAGAGGGTATAAACTGTCAATTGTTTGATAGTTACACTTTAGACTATAAATCCTTATCCAAGATAGGATGGACGATTTCTAGGGCTTGGATAAGCCAAAATCGTCCATAGGGTTATCAAGGAAAGGATATGGATCAACTTAAAGTCTAAGTTATCCAATTAGGGTTAAAGCTGTAATCCTTAAGGAGTCTACAAGTATAAATAGACCCTAGGGGTGAGGGAATTCGACACACCATCAAAAGTAGAGATACTCTGGCCGAATTCCTCCCCCTCTCCTCTCTCCTAAATCATCTTACTTGCTATTGGTGTTTGTAAGCTATTAGAGGAGTGACATTTGTGACTCTAGAAGCTCCAAGACAACAAGATCAACAAGGAATCCAAAGGTATGATTCTAGATCGATTTCAATGTTGTTATTTAACCTAATTAGCCATTAGAAGTCTTGGATTCAAAGCATGTTTAATTAAAAAGCCTAGATCCGAGCATTAGGGTTTTGCATGCGCACATATGGCTAAAACCCCATCAGTGGTATCAGAGCCAGGTTTGGTTTTCTTTAAATTGTTGCTTGATTAACTGAAACAAACCTGCAAAATTCGTTTTTTGGGTTTCTGAGTCATGGACTCGGCGAGTAGGCCTGACTCGGCGAGTCCTTTTGTGTACTCGGCGAGTCCGGGCGTCAGGATTAGGAAAAACCGGGATTTTTTCATGTTTATCTTATGGAAACTTACCTTAATCATATTAGATCAACCCTAATCCGATTTTTTGATATATATGACTATAATCTTGATCTAATTAAAGATATTTATCATCTAATAAAATATTTAATTTACTTATATGATAATTGATTAATTATTTTGATAATTATCTTAAAAGAAATCTTGGATAAATCAAATAAAGATAATTAGGATATTAATTGTTAATTGGAATTATCTGTTATTTGATCCTCCATGTTTTAAATGTTTAAAACTTTCCCTCAAGTTTTGAAATTTATATTTGTGATTAAAAAGTTTTAATTTAGACAACTTAAAATTCAAACCCTACGTTTTAAAAGGTTTAAAACACAACCCTTATACTAATATGATATTACTAGAATAATATATATGTATAACTAAATGCTAGTCTTACCGTTAGTAGGCCTCATTCACGAAGCTGATCTATAAGGTGGGTATAAGGTTGCGGCCTATAAAAATGGCGCTTAATGGGTGTACACTCACACCCACCGCTTGCTTGATTGGTGGAGGGTCGTTAGCCGAACGGGTAGGATAGGGCAACCTCATCCTCTCATTAAAAGTATAATAAGAAATACAAAGTAACTACACGTTTTAAAAATTTCCCAATCTTAGTTACTTTAGGAAAAGTGAATTGATGCAATCCCATGAAATTACACTTTGCACCCTTGCTAAGAAGTTAGTGGAGCGTGTGTGGTTTACCGGCACACT